AATCAGAGGACAACGAGGATCACGAGTGTCCCGATTGTGGCAAGAAGTACTCGACCTCCTCGAATCTAGCCAGACACCGTCAGACGCACAGGTCACTGGGCGATAAAAAGGCCAGGAGGTGTCCACATTGCGACAAGGTCTACGTCAGCATGCCGGCGTTTAGCATGCACGTGAGGACCCACAATCAAGGATGCAAGTGTCACTATTGCGGCAAGTGTTTCTCTAGACCGTGGCTGCTGCAAGGACACATACGCACGCATACAGGTATTAATATATAATCCGCAAAACCGCTTTATTCATCGCTTTTCTTGATAACTTCGATAATTATATAATTTACCAAAATTATACACGTATAATCGACATCTGGAAAAAAAAAGAATTAATAATACTTGTTACCAATTTAATAAATATACTCGTTAAACTTAATAACATCGTTCGACTCTCGAAGTTGTTTTTTGTCCATGACCGATTGCGTTCACTTACAATAATAGATACGTACGTAAATAAACTAAGGCGAACTATTTTTGAAGAGGGTACAGTGAGTTTAACGGGCTTTCAATGAAGATAAATTCAAATTAATCATTCACGATTCATGATTTTGGCACGCTTAAATATGCAGTACTACTTCCAATTGTGAAAATTACAGATATACAACTGTGAAATCACACACAACAATATATCTACGTTTTTCAAATGCGCAAAGTACATTAGGAATAATTAATTGATATCTTCAGCCAAGAAAGAATAAATTTAAAAATGCAAAATATATACATTTTTTATTTTCTACTTTTAATTTTATTCTTAAACTATTCTTTTTATTTATTTTTATGTTATATATTTATATTATATTTATATTTGTAATTTTTAAAGAGTATTTAAATCTGTTAAATATTTTTTTTTTAAATAAACTCTTCGATTATCGTTTAAGATTTTTTAAATCTTTTTTTTTTTAATAATTACTTTCAATATAACTTTCATTAGCACATAAAAGAAAGCATAGTTTTGGTGAAACTAAATTATATTAACATATACATACCTAAGAAACTCAATAATATTTTCAATAATTACTTTACTTCTTCCAGGCGAGAAACCTTTCAAGTGCACCATTTGCAACAAAGCCTTTGCCGACAAGTCAAATTTACGAGCTCATATACAAACGCATTCGAATACCAAACCCCACGTGTGCGGTCGTTGTGGTAAGGCTTTCGCTCTGAAATCATACCTCTACAAACACGAGGAATCGTCCTGTATGCGTTCTCATCACCGATCGTCCACCGATCGTTCAGATAAGTCCGATCAGATTGAGCAGCAGAAGACATCATCATCGTCGGTAAAACCGAGTGTTCCATTATCGTTGTCCTTGAACAGAACGCAAACGTCGATGTGCGTCACAGCATCGCCAACCAGCGTCATAGTTCCTCGATTGGGACTCGAACGTGAGCAGAAAGACTCGTCGTCGGCATTCTCCGCGATCATCAGGCACACAAGGACGTCAGATACGTCTGCAGCGGCACCATCGAAACGACCTTGCAGAGAGAGGACACTCTCGGAAGATCCAGAGACGCAGAATCCCGATTTGCTGACCAAAGATCCGGAATACGTATCCAGAATGGTCATCAGAACGTCGGTGATATCACCCAATCCGGAGCACTTGCATCTCCGTTTCGAAAATGACGTTAAGAGTTCCTCGACTACATTCGATTATCCCGATCCGACGAGATCCTCGTCTTTTTCGAGATCCACCATGACTTTGAACTTGGCCATCGCTTAAAAATTGGCCAATATACTTAGCGATCAAATCAAGTCAACTAATCAATAAAAATAATTCAGATTTGGTTTCATACTTACTTTAGTATGAATTTTAATTAGTTGAGAAGATTTCAGTGTATCCTAGGACTACAGCTCGGCATTCTGTAAAAAATTAAAGAAAAATAACTCTCTTAAAACATCTTTTTATATAAACTTTTATAGAAAATTGAAGCAAGTTTCGAAATTTCTTTAATTATTCGTTAAAAAGATCTCGATAATCAAAACAAAAAGCAGCTCTTATTTTTTTCGAGATTATAGTATCAAAAGATTTAATTGAGAAATTAAAGATTAAGAATTGTTATAGAGCGATTGTAAAAGTCAAAATTACCGATGTTTCTTTTAATCATAAATTACTTTAATTTAAAGTGTCTTTACAAAGAAAATCTTTTTTCATTAACATTTTTTGTCAATATATGTATATATGAAACTATTATCGATATTGTTGATTTCAGTTTGATAATTCACGGACATTCTGTACAATTTCGATAGTTTACGCAGGCATTATCAAACATTATGTGACTGTCAAGTTTCCTTTTTCGCATTAATTTATTATAATTTTATATTATCAAACAAAGATTACGTTTGATAATGCCGAATAATATTGCGAATTAGCAAAGAATCGATAGTGTTGTGTATGACAAATGTTATTCCAAGTATCTTCCAAATTAGGGACCATCTAGCGATTAGTCGTAATAACGTTAAATTTGTAAGCGTGTTTAATTTAGCGCAAATTACATTGATGTAAAATCGTGCCTTACATAAGTATCGAGTCGTGTTTTAGCACTCGACACAGCAACATAGCTTCGACAGAATTGGCGTGTACGGATGAACGCGTGGAAAGAAATTTTCGGGGGCGTCTGTTAAACGCCAAACTCGTGACCTTATCTATTTAAAGGCGCATAACATCGCTATCATGCGGCGTTAAGCGATCAAGATTGATCATCGAGGACTGAATTGCAGTGCCATCGTGTTATTATTTTAGGATTAAATGAGATTCTCTGAGGCTCTTCGAGGCAGCTATCAAACTTTGTAAGATATAAATACGTATGAATGATAGATGCGCGAAATATAGTGAACTTCAACGAGGATGTAAAAATATTTTTCTTCTATGTAATCGAGTGGAAAATTTTTACTGTTACAATCATAAAATAACGAAGAGAACGATGCAGCATTCGACGTGAGGTTTTTTGTTGCCTTCGAGAAAGAATCTTAAAAAACGCAACTACACGTCGGGATTCAAGCTTGAATCGGGACGTTCTCAAAAGCGAAGGCGTGTGTCTGTGATTCGAAATTGCCGCAAAAAGTTGGCTACAGGCAATGCGATCACCCTGCCAAAAAAAAAAATATATATATATATAAAATATATGTAATACTATATATTTCGTATCATAGAAATAAGCTTAGACCCATTGGTCGTTCACTAGTACCCACCTATTATGTGATGAATTTTGCTGTATTAATTCTAATTAGAATATCATTTGTATGTAACGTCCAACAAACGTTATCCAGTCGAGCAATGCGCCTGTAGTTTACTGTAGGCTGCTGGCAGCGTTCTCCAGCAGCGAATTCATTACAACGGCGATAAATAAGGTTTTCTTCTTTCATTCGTTTGCGGTGCCAGAGATTGGTGTCCGGTCAGAGTGTCGAACTAGTCAAATCCGTTTCGCCATCGTAAATGTAATCTGCCGTCGTAAGAAAAAAATTGTTTGCTTACTATTAATTTATCATCGCGACGAATATTATCTCGATCGACAGTACTAAATACCCCTTTTTTTCAAGGATTCAACAGATGGCAAGATTACGTAAAATTATGCGAATGGCAACGGTTATGATAAAGATTTCATGTAAGTGTAATAATGTGTCGCGCAACGAGATTGATCGCCGCATTCGCCAAGGAATCTGCTTGAGTTGTATAATTGTAATTAATTGACGAGCGATTTCAGACACACGTGCGTCCTAGTCATTCGATAGATCGCCCATAGACGAGAATAGGGATTCTGATCTAACGATTAAGCACGTAGTCGCGTTGACCACATATGTTGTAAATAGCATTCCCACTTTTACGATTTAGATTTTAGTCGCGCGAGTGAAGGAGAGACGTTGACATAGTCGTTTTTTAGATAGCGATTTATTACAACCGTTGTATTATACGTGCTATTTGTACACCGGAGTGCCTATGCGAAACATTTATTCACATCTTTTTTTTACGAATTGTAAAAGTCTTGTCTATCGTAATGAAAGAATAATACACGAAGTGATATATGTAATGTGTATATATTCAGACGCGTTTAAATTAACTTTTCATTTTTCTTATTCACTTTCTCAATTCCTTTAATCCTTTCCTCATCTTTATTATTAAGTTTAAAAAAGTGTAATATCAAATAATTTAATTCTAAACAATTTAACAAAATATATATCGGATGCATATCGGATTGCAGCACTCGCGGTCACATAAAGCTTTCCGTTCAATACTCTCTCGCTTCGTCTTTTTACTTATTGAACTCATTATCGCGCCGATGAACCATGCGATCATTAGCTACGCTTGGTAGTAGAATAAACAGCGACTAACTGTATTTAACAAATAGATTGGACTCAATAATTAGGCCAACGAAAGCGAAAGTAACTAATCCGATAAGTCAAGTTAACTCAATGTTGCTTGTAATTGTACATACATATTTATACGATTTAGAATAGAATATTTTCATATAAATAAATAAATATATAATATATGTGCATAATAAATAAAAATTACCATGTAAAATTGTAAAAAATGTTTGTTAAAAAAAGTTTCAAATCTGTGAAAAAAATTCGCTTTTAAGGTTTAGGTTTGAGATGTCCTCGATTGCTTGTCTAAATAAGCAATACAGTGATACAGTATCATTTTTTCGTTTCTTTCTAACTGCATCATGGGGGATCTTCTAAGTCAATGACAGGCGCATATCTTTCGGTAATGAGATCTACAAGACGAGACCAAACGAGATAACATGATATACACGAGCGTTCGTACGCAATTACATCACGACGCACATTCTCGGAATTTTGTCCAGCGATTCTTACTCCCCCCTCGCGGTCACATAAACTCCTATGATTCCAAGCGGTGCTTCGTGGGACTGACTACGATGGGGCCGAAGAAGAGACGCAGCGGAAGAAGCGAGTAGAATCGGTGGGAATCTAATCCAACGGGGTTAGAACATCGTCGAAACGTTGGTTCGCATCAGTCGTGGAAGTCGTCCCGCAGACAGTTCGAACTATGCGGCCGTGTCTCATCGTCCTGATCTTCCTCGCGAGCACGGCACTCGCGAGGTACCACGTAAGTTTTCCATTTCCCTCGCGAAGAGATTTCAAGCTCGTTCCGCCACCTGTTTTTTTATCACACATTCAATAATAAAAAGATTCGCAGTGCATTTGAAAGAGATCAAATAGGTTTGTAAATGAACGTGCCTTTGTATATTTTTGTAAATAATAACTCGCTAATAGCGATCAATTTTAGGTAAAATTATATTTAATTAACAATGAAAATTGTTAATAAATAATAAGATTCTTAAGGGCGGTATTCATAGTCCGTTCTTATTTTAGTCCATCTTAAATAATGTCTATAACGCTAATACGACTCTCTGATTGGTTCATGACACTTAAGACTGTACTTAAGACAGTCTTAAATATAAGATCCGACTGAATACCGGCGCCTTAATGTGTGAGAACAGTAATAATAAAAAATACTAGGGGCAAATGAGAGTCAACGCATTGAAGTTGGTGCGCAATTAAATAAAATTTTGTATTGTAAAAATTCACATAAAAAAGATAGAAAAAATATAAAATAGATACATAATTAATTCAAATGCTTACAAATGAATTTTATAACACTTCTCGAGATTACATGTTTCGACTACAAAAATTCCTAACTTTATAATTAATTAATAATATTTAAAATATTAAAATATTATTATTAAGTCCCACGTGAGAAGCTTTAATTATTTTTTTCAAATGGTTCATCTCAATAACAATATTCCTTATTTTATAGAAATTCTATGTAAGCGTTTAATTATTCTCACAAATTGTTTCATCGATTTGTTAATTATAATATTTTTTTGGTTAGCACATCATTCTGTTAACAAGCAAGATTTTGAAAATGATTAACAGACATTTGCGGGGAAAGCGCTCTAGTTTTTATGCAACTATAAAACTGACTAAATCATTGTTAATTTCTAGGTGATATTTAGATGTCCGCGTATGCATAAATTACTTATTCATCAATTCGGAGTAATAGATAGCTGCTTATCTCTCCTTCTTGCAATTTAGGGCACTTCTTGGCATCGCCATGGTTCGCGCAGCATTGTGAAATTCAGCAAATCGTCAACTTGTATCATCTATCCACGATGATAAACGCGGAAATATGATCTCCTAAGTATCCCTCTACTTCATTCATCGCTCCGTCAAAAAACAAACAGAATTTTACGAATTGCAATTTTAAAATGATTATAACTGCTTTTACGTAAGAAAACGTGCAACACGTTTTTGCACGAAACTGATACCTACGCCAGTCACTTCGATCAGGATCTGACTAATTTTTTAGTAAGCAAACCATCAGCAATCCAATGCCAACACGAGTGGCAACAAATTCAATTAGAAATTACTAGCAAATTGATATCAACTGTTAATATCTCATGCTTTATGATACAGCCTGTTGACATTATTTGACAGTAGATTTTATTCGTTTTTCTAAATTTGTAGATTTGCATTCAAATTCTGTTCTATTTCTGCTTCCAATCTGCGTCTAATTCCGCAAGTATGTTAAAGTCTGTTTGATTTCTACTATTATATTTCGTTGATAAATTTTCCTATAATATATGTTGTCCAATATTGTATGTATTGTAAGATCCTGTCTATTCTCATAATCTAATAATATTCTCTAATCTATTTTCGAAGATTTGGCTATCTGCGTTTAGTTGATTAACTCAACCAGCAGAATTGCAATTGCGATAAAATTACAGACTATATAATTTGTTATCCCGAATCTTTTTTCTTTCTCAGCATGAATCAACGAATTAATAAATTTATCCACGTAAATACTAGAAGTACTAATTGGTTCATTATTGACAATTTCTACTTCCTTTTTTAGATTAATGTTATTAAAAGAGAGATATAATTCTGAAATATATTTTAATTTTTCAATAATTATATAATTTTACTTTAAAAAAAATATTTGATTTTTCATTATTTTTTTATTTTCATTGTAATTTATTACTTTTTGTAAGATAGTTTGATACTTTAATGTTAACAAACTGGCGTTACCTAATGCCGATTGAGTTAATCAGAGCCTGATCATTTACTTTTAAAAAATTGTTAAGGGCTTTTAAACTCGTTAAAAATTTATCAAAGATTCGTGATAAAATCTGCGTTAAACACATGATTGCGACTGTTATGTCGGACCGGCAAAAGTGCGCATCCATTAAACTTTCGTTTCCGCTGCATTGGATTCCAAACTGGATATCGAGTCGAGATCGTTATTGCTTAAACCTGTCGACCCTTTTCCAATTTATAATGTTCCCCTGTAGTAGGCTATTTGCGTGATTCGCACTGACGCGCACGACTAGAAGACAATTGTTGAAAGAAAGATTTGGAGGTTAAAGCTCACCGAGATAAGGACGGACGATACGGATTGCCTGGCCTGCTCTCGATCGCAACGCTTTTTTCACCCCCTTTCGACAACGCTCGAAAGTCCGTTAGTGTCGTCTCCATACAGTATGACTTACAATAGTCTTAAAATCTGTAATTAACATCGAGATATAATTATAATCAGACAATGATTTCAACAATCTTCCACCTTTTCGCGATAGCGTGTTTTTGTTTCTCGGCTGTCCATTCTTTCCCTCGCCGCTCCTGAATTAATTAAAAATGTATAATTAAAATTTTCTATCGTTTGCTATTACGATCTCATTATTTTATTACGAATTGCACTTGACAATTGTCTGCAATTAATGTAAATTTATCTTTCTTGCTAAAGTCGGTTAAAAAGATTGAGAGAAGAATCAAACTGAAGTGAGCTGCGAATTTGAATTAAAAAAATACGGGTAATTTTTTTTTTTTCGCTTATACTATGAATCACGTATTCAGTTTAGCGCTATCACGCTATTAGGCATGGGCCTTAATAGGTTAATTATTTGTAATACTATTCTCATGTTTACTTAATCTTTTATAATTTGTATAAATAATTAATATAATAATATATGTTATAATAATAATGTTATATAATAATAATTGTTATAATATTATTATTATGTAATTTGAATATTATTCATAGGAAAAGACGCGTTTCGATCGATCTGTATACGATGAGATGAGAAACGTAGATTACAATAATGAAGAAAAACAATGGTCTTTTAATGATGATGTAACGGTAAGTAATTATTTGTCTTAATATTTTAAAACATACCAATTAAAATTGATCTTTTCAAAACAGCAATTCATTGCATACAAGAGCAGGGAGGAAAACGATTGTTATCTTGAAGACGTAAGACAGGGTCATAATATTATTTCACGTAAGAAGCGACAATTCAAGGTACTCTATGCATCGTCAGCCCTCACGAAACTAGAGGTAATAATGAGTTATACGATATGTTGTTTTGTGTAAATGTGCGTATCTAAAAAGATTAGAATTATGTTTACTATTTCCATAGTTGTGAATTTAGTATAAATTAAATTGTAAGCAGTATACATATATACAACATTTAAATTAAATATACCATCTGTCTAGTTTCTTTGTGACTTGTATTCTTTATATAATTATATTGTCATACATGTTTAAAAACTATAAAACAATAATAGGATTTTTATTAGTTATTTAAATATTTACATGTTGAAATATATCAATAATATAATATGTTGAATCAGAAGAAAAACATTAAACATCTAAATTTAATATTTTAAACAGGCGTGGCAACTTGCTGGAGGTCGAATCGTTGATTTCTGCAATAGACGCAATATCCTTTTGTTACAAACAATGAGACCTGTGTCAGGGCAAGCTCTCAATCCCTTTTTCAATGAAATTTCTACAGACAAAAACGATATTTCGTCCAAACGCATAGCTGATATGGTTTTAATACCGTTGAAAGCTCGAACAAAACGACAGATTCAACTCGAGCAACGAGAGAAAAAAAAATTGAACAAAAATATCAATCAAATTCGAAAACGTCGACAAACGAATCAGTTTCGAGGAAAGTTTCGTGGACAGACGCAGTCTCAATATTTGAATTTTGGTAACGATGAAAAAAAAGAGGGCAAAGCCGAAGCTGAGGCTACTCAGCAATCTTCACACGCAGTAGTTAGTAAGTATTTAAATACTCGATATTTTATTATGTTACATAATTGTATAATAATTAAATGCTTCGTTTTTACAAGAAAAAAATTATATTAAAACAATCTGATTAAAAATAATAAATAAGTAAATTAAAAATTAAAAAATAATATTTTTACAAAATATAATACGAGATTAAAATTGTGAGATTTATGGTTAACTGTATAAATAAGAGTTTTATTAAAAACAAAACTTATAATTATCATGTTTTTTTTAAATTATTTTAATATGTTCTCCTTTCAGGTGGTAGTCGTGGAATGGGTCAAGCGCAAAGTATGTCATCAGGTGGCACCGGTTGCGAAGACTGTCCCGGATATCCTGGATATCTTGGATATCCTGGCATCGAAAGGGCACCGGATAAGGTACGAGTTCCATCTGCTCGTACTGACGGATATGTGCAAGTTCTAGGTGCTGGTACACCTGGTATTGTACAGCCTGGAGTCGTTTCTGGAGTCCCATCTTATTCTGGCGGGCAGATAACATATCCAACTGGAGTAGTTCCTGGGGAAATTAGCACATATCCTGGTATTCGCCCTGGCAGACCAGAAATGTATCCCGGAGGTGTTCGTCCTGGCACTGTTATACCAGGAGCTGAAGGGACGTATTCTGTAGGTGTTCGTCCTGGAACAATGACACCAGGAACTGAAGAGATATATCCTGGAGGTGTTCGTCCTGGTACAGTGATACCTGGAGCTGAGAGGCCATATCCTGGAGGTGTCCGTCCTGATATTGTGATACCAGGAGTTGAGAGGCCGTATCCTGTGGATGTTCGTCCGGGTACCGTGATACCAGGAGCTGGTGGGATATATCCTGGAAGTGTTCGTCCTGGGAGTGTAACACCAGAAGTTGATAGGACATATCCTGGTGGTGTTCAACCACCTGGAACTATAATACCAGGAAGTGATAGAACATATCCACCTGGAACTTTAATCACAGGAGATCGTGGACTATATTCTGGAGGTATCCAGCGTGGAGGAGTTTTACCTGGTGTGACAGTAGGAGTTGAAAAATATCCAGGAGGTATTCAACCTGGAGTTCAACCAGGACAAAGTGTGTATCCTCCTAGTGGTATTGTAACCACTTCAGTAACAACAGGTGCCACTGCTGTTACTGGTGTTGGAACTTATCCAATTAGTACTCCAGAATTAACAAGTGGAACATATCCGGCAGTTCCTGGCACAGGAGTAATTCCTGGCACAGGAGTAATTCCTGGCACAGGAATAATTCCTGGTACAGGAGCAATTCCTGGTACAGGAGCAATTCCTGGCACAGGAATAATTCCTGGTACAGGAGCAATTCCTGGTACAGGAGCAATTCCTGGCACAGGAGTAATTCCTGGCACAGGAATAATTCCTGGTACAGGAGCAATTCCTGGTACAGGAGCAATTCCTGGCACAGGAGTAATTCCTGGCACAGGAGTAATTCCTGGCACAGGAATAATTCCTGGTACAGGAGCAATTCCTGGTACAGGAGCAATTCCTGGCACAGGAATAATTCCTGGTACAGGAGCAATTCCTGGTACAGGAGCAATTCCTGGCACAGGAGTAATTCCTGGCACAGGAATAATTCCTGGTACAGGAGCAATTCCTGGTACAGGAGCAATTCCTGGCACAGGAGCAATTCCTGGCACAGGAATAATTCCTGGTACAGGAGCAATTCCTGGTACAGGAGCAATTCCTGGCACAGGAGTAATTCCTGGCACAGGAATAATTCCTGGTACAGGAGCAATTCCTGGTACAGGAGCAATTCCTGGTACAGGAGCAATTCCTGGCACAGGAGTAATTCCTGGCACAGGAGTTCCTGGCACAGGAGTTCCTGGCATAGGAGTTCCTGGTACTGGAATTCCTGGTACTGGAGTCTATCCTGGTGTTCGACCTGATGCTATCCCAGGAACAAGTGTCGGAACATATCCTGGTAGTGTTGTGCCAGGAACAGTAACTCAAGGAGTTTATCCTGGACAGCAGACTGTTGTATACCGCTCTGAAGGTGTTCCATCAGGCACTTTACCAAGCAGAGGTCAAGTTCCTAGTACGATTACAACTACAACATCTGGTTCTGGTACACAAGTAATAACTTATCCAGATGGTCGACCAACGAACGGTCAAACAGTTTACCTTGGTGATATTCAACCTGGAAGGATTCCTGAAGGTACTCAAGTTGTGTATCCAGGTGTTACATATCCAGGAACTATTCCAGGTACATATCCTGGCGGTGCACAACAAATTCCTTCTGCCGGTGGTACTTTATACCCTGGCCAAGTAATCCATCCAGGTGGTCAAGTGCCAACTTATCCAAGCGGACAGTATCCAGGCACAGGTATCGGAATTTCAGGAAAGGAAGGAGTTCAGTATCCAACAGGCATAACGGGAGGTCAAATACCTGGAAGACCTGATGTGACTGAGCAGTATCTTGGTCGGTTTCCAGGCGGAATCAGTCAAAGAGTAGACAGTAGTCAATATCCAGGAGAATTTTATCCGGGAATGGTTGGACCTGCAGGTATAGAAGAAACTGGGGGCTTAACTAAACCGGCAGGTCCAGCAGGTGTGACAGACGACGGTACCGAATCACAGGCATCGAGTTCCGTGCAGCAGGTGAATTCGGGTACTCAAGCGAGCGCTTCGGCTCAGGGTAAATACGGATCGGGTACAGCTCAGTCGCAAGTGACAGGTACCTATAGCGGTTCAGGCACCTTCTCTGCCCAAGCTGGTACTAGCGACGCCAACAAGAGTGCTCAGGCTGAGATCAGTGGCGGTAAAGAAGGAGCTACTAGCAATGCGCAAGGCGTCGCCGGTTATGGAAAAAGTCAAACACAGGTTCAATTAGATTCCGATTCCGGAGCTACCTCAACAGGTGCTCAAAGCAGTGGATGGAACCATGGTACCAATTCGCAAGTGCAAGCAAGCTCCAAGGGCGGAATGGCGGATGCTCAAGCTAACGGCGAGGGCAATACTTCCAGTCAGGCGCAGATTGGGTTCCAGCCGTACTTGAAGAGCGAAGATGAGAACGTGGAAAACCACGAGACGCCATTTCGCGGTAGCGGAACAGCATCGGCTCAAAGTGGCACTCATCGAGGTCAGTCCCAATCGCAGTTACAAGGTTCTTTTCAATACGGGATCACGTATACCGGTGCAGCGCAAGCCGGTTCTGGATCTGGTGCCGCATCCTCGAGAAAGCCCTTTAACTTCACGGATTCCGAACTTTTCAAGTCCTTCAAACCAGCTCCTTCTTCGAAACGACCAATGAATATTGACAGTGCACAGTCGAGTCCGTCGACAAATTCGAATTACGATAACAGGCAGGATGAAAACAAACAGAATCGCGAGCAAGGCTTGCAAAGCAGCTCGACTTCGAGACAAACCGTTATCCTGTCTTCGAAAAACAATCCGAACGACGCTGACAAAAAAGTGCTCTCTACCGAAAAACCACGAACGGATGACACAGCATATGACGAATACGACGATGACTACACGGACGAAGATGATTATCCCACGGGTTCAAAGTTGACAATCAAAGAGAAGTTTTCGGAAACTTTCCCGGGCTCGAGCTCGAGTCATCAAAAACTTGACAAGACCATTCAGCAGCAAAGTCGCAGTCAGACGCAGACAATACAGGTCGCTAAAGGGAATCAATATAACATCCACGTTAGACAAGATTCAAACGTACCGCGAACGGATGGTACTCTGCAACCAGGACAATCCGTATCAGGATACACCGTCCCATCTGGATTCCGCGGCCGAGTAATGTCGGCTTCTGGCACCGAGACTGTTGCTCAGGGTGACGGTAAATCTCAATCGCAGACTGCATCTTTAGTCCCTAAGGACTTAAATAATACCAGATCATCGCTCGTCACAGAGACCAGATCGCTTCAGACCAATCACAATCGTTACATTGGCCGGCATATGTCAAAAAAAGAGCCTTCCCTTAATCAAAATATATCTTTCGACAAGCGTACGAAACCTACCCCTGCAGTAGCGGCGAAGCCGAGTTACTACACCGTGACCAACAGTTTCGCCGGCAAAATGAACGGCAGCAACGAACCGAGAAAGTACGAACATAGATATTATACTAAGAGTTCCACCTGTGGATACTTCACGTTTTCTTGTAATGTCGTGTACGGTTCCAACGGTAGGACGAAGATCTGCAAGCCAAAAGTGCCGACG